TGGGAGGCGGGAGGACTGAAGTGGACTACAGTTGACAGTAGAGTCTGGGCTCATTCTTCCTGTCCCAGGACTCTACTGAAGATAGTGCTGCTTTGGGAGAATGTCTGAAACTACGTATATTGTCCAAGAGCTTTGTGAAACCACCGAGTATAGAAGTACAGCGTTCTCATTTCAGAAATAATTCCGCCTTGGTGTGTGGTCACAGAGCCTGTAAAAGTTGTGCTGTGAAGGTCCACTCCCTTGTTTCTGTTCTTCTACCTGTGTTCTCCGTACCGCTGCTCCCAGCTGCGTGGACCAGGGCTCAGAGCCGTGAGGGCCATACCGCAGGTCTCTAGTTAGCATAAAGGTCCTAGAGGAGAAAGCCAGCATGGCCATTTGAATCATGCCCCATAGTCTCTTCCTGGACATGTCTGTCTTGTGAGGCCCCTGGACCTGGCCTTCCTTCCTGACAGACTATGTGTAGGCCAGTGCAGAGTTGCACCAAGTCTGGCTCCCTGTCATGGCCTGTGTCTTGATACTGGGTGCTTACATTCATCTGAGCCTTTGGAAGTGTTTATATTCAGTCCTGTGACAGATCCATAACTTTCTTTAAAGTGAAGAAGATAGTTCTTATTATTAAATATAGTCATTCTCAGTTGTCAGACCCTTAAGAAATTCTGGCCAGGGTAGTTTATGCTGACTGCTGGTTTTAGCAAAGATTTTCTGGGCCCTTTTCACTTCTACTTTACTGTCAACTGCTAGTGTGAAGCCATCGGCTTATCATAACACTGGGGTGACATTTTCTCATCCCCGGTAGTGGAGCTGGCAGTTAGAACATGAACTCCTCAAGTTGAAGTTCTGCTTTCATTTTTGTTGGTTTATTTATTAATAAAGTAGTTTATTTAGCAGCAGTGACAACATTTTAAAAATTAAAACATGCAGTGAAAGAAAACAAGTTTTAGTTTTGTTTTACTGTATTTTTTAAAATATTGTTGTTTTATGTGAATAAAGCCAGAAGGAGGCATTGGATCCCCTGGAGCTGCAGTTATGGACGGTTGTAAGCCGCCGTGTGGTGCTGGGAACCAAATCTGGATCCTCTGCAAGAGCAGCAAGCGCTCTTATCGAATGAACATCTCTCCAGCCCCAGTTTCATTGTATATTTCATGCTTGGGCTTGAACTCGGGTCCTCACAGGCATGTCAGACATGCCTTCTACCACTGAGCTACCCTTCCAGTCCCTGAAGTTGAATTCTGGTCTGTACTGTCTTGTCTGGCTTCTCCTGAAATAGAACGGCATGATTTTATCTTCTTGGAGAGTGAAAACTATATTTTTTTTGCCATTTTTAATGCTGAGTTCTTTTTGTGTGGATTTACAGATTGGTCGAATCATTGTGGTTCAATAAAGGAAGATGGACTCTGGACCTACCTCAGTCAAATTACAGCCTATTCTCCATGGGTTTTCTATATCTGCATGCTAGCAACTTTCCATTTTTCATGGTCAACATTTTTATTACTGAACCAGCTCTTTCAGGTATTTCTCATAATGACTGAATAAAATTTCCAGTGACTTACTATTTGGTAGGAAGACCTGAATTAAAGCAGGAGGCTTGCATTCTAGCTCCAGTTCCAGCGTCTGTGATCTAGGCATGTCATCAGTCCACTCTTGAAGTTTACTGTGCTTTTCTGTGAAACAAGGGTAATAATGTCCATCTGTTCTCAAAGGATGCTTTAAAGGTTAGCATAATAAATTGTTTGCCGAGGCTGCACCCAGTAGTGTGCTCATCTGACCTTTTAATTTATGGTACAGAGAAGTGAATTGAATTGAGTTGCTCAAGGTTGCCCAGTAAGTAGGAAACTCAGAACTGGAACTTGGTTCATCTAACAGCCTCATTCAAAGGCTCTTTGCATCCTCTGTGTAGACCATATGGTATGTGAAACACGGTATAAACTGTGAAGGGTTAAACAGATAAAGGTAACTATCTTCCGTCAGTTTTCCAGCTCTGTTACTATGTACAGTGCTCAGGTAGATGGGAGGTGGAGGAAGTGAAAGACAGGCCCCTATGCAGTGGACATGGCAGCCACATGCTGAGGGAACGTGCACACTCGGGGCAGCATCAGCCTCGGGCTTCTGCAGAGCTCCCTGCCCGCCTGCTGCTTCCCCATGAGCCTCACCCAGTTCTCCCTGTTGCTATGACCTGCCCACATGGAATGGACAGCAGTGATCAGTTTGAACCAGATATTGCAAGACTGTACATATTTAGAGTATTACTCAACAAAAGTGAAAGAATTCCACTCTCCTGGGGAGATGATGGTAATAGAAGCAGGAGAGAAGAGAAGGGCATCAGAGGAAACCACAAAGGAGGAGTTCACAATGACTAGACTGAATTTTATCTTTACCTCTGACCTCAGCAGCTCAGGTATTAAGAGTCGATATTTTCAGTGATTATCCGTTTTAATTACTGTCATTTATACTAGTATTTATAAATACATTTACAAAGCATTTACCCAACCTTTTCCTCATGAGCCTTTGAGGTGTAGCACATGCTAGAGTGCTGTCTCTATTTAATGGATGAGAAAACGAAATCTAAGTCAGGTAGCCTGTGTTGCTTCTAGCCACAGGCCTAGTAACAGGGTGGTGTTTGAGGTTACAGTAGCCTTATATCTCAGGTGGGCAGAGTCTTAACACCTGTAATGTCGGCTCCCAAGAGTAAAGCAAGAGGATTATGAGCTCAAGGCTAGCCTGAGCTACATTGCTAAGGAAGGGAAATGGACTCAAAGTTTCAAATAATTTTCAGAAACAAGATTTCAGGCAGTTAGTGAACAAAGCAGTCCAGAGCTTCCTAAGCTCTCTGGTTTGATGTGCTTTGATCGCATCAGGTCAAACTGAGCATACAGACAGCTGGTTAGGAACATTGCCTCTTGTGTTATCCTGGCTAGTTACTTCACCTCTCTAAGCCTCAGCACTAGGGAGTTTTAGATACATCATTATCTCAGATCCTTGTAACAGGATGATAAGGGTGGTAAGATAAAACCATTTTACAGATAAGGAAATTGATTTTGAGGTGTTTTAAGGTTTGATGAAGTAACCTTGTGAATTACTGTGATTTTTAATGATTTAAAGAGCTGTTCAATCATCTTAACCATCACTCCTCAAGTTTACGGATTTTGGTGTTTTTCTCTGGCACCTTTTTGAAGAGCATAGAAATGGAGGGTCGTAGTGATACTGACCTTGTCTTGTTTTATTTGGACAATAGTTGTATGTTCCTGTATGGAAAATCTAAACATAGCTATAAGTCATGGCTTTAATTAGTAAAAAGTCATTTCACGACTGTCAGTCAATGTACAGTGCTCTCTTGACTAAATGAAAACCAGACAGTCATGAATAACGTGCAGCTACTAAATTTGCATAGGCAAGTGTGGTTGGAGTTTTGACTCCTTGCCCTCACCCTGATCTCTGGCTAGAAGCCCTTGTGGAGGACTGCATGATTACCAGTGTCCTCTAGCATTCAGTTTGGAGCAGTGGAGCCATGATGTGGTATTCTTCATGTACCTCCCAACCTTCTTTTCCAGATCGCATTTCTGGGCCTGACATCCCATGAGAGAATCAACCTGTTAAAGCAGCGGAGGCGTATGAGACAGACACTGTCCCTCAGGAAGACACCATACAAGTGAGTGTGTTCTAGTCTGGACACGGCGTCCTGTGGGAGAGCCCCAGCCACTGATTTTCTAACCTAATGTCCTTCTCTAACTGGCTGTCTGCTGGAGCTGAACCCCTTTCTTGAAATTCTCAGTGTCAGGTTTTGAGCGATAAGATCATGAGCCCGGGGTGGTAAGGAATTTATTTAGTCCACTGAACTCAACACAGATAGTAAGTGACTTTGAAGTTTTGCCAAGATGAGGACTCTCTAGTTGAGCCATGTGGTCACAAGGTTGTGTTGCTGGCAAGGAGTCTGAGATAGTCAAGTATGTGACTGAAAGGCCAATCATATGTTCTCCATAGAAAGCATTAGGTTGTATGCTCTGCCAGGATTTCTTTCTGCATGACTTCCTAGCCCCAGTAATTCTTTTTTTTTTATATATAATTTTCTTTATTCTTGAGAATTCCATACATGTATAATGAAATATGATCATATGTACCCCCCCAGTTTTCCCTCTCTGTCCCTAAACCTCCCTAACATACCCCCTCCCAATTTCATGTCATGTATCTCCCACTAAGTCCAGTTCTTGCTGCCCATTTGTGCATGGTTGTGGGCCATCCACTGGAGCATAGGAATCCTATCAGTGACCACAGTAATTCTTCTAGCCCTCTGTCAGGGGAGCTAGATTTTCAGGGCTAGGGTATATTTCCTTTAGAGCACTGGTCATATAAACCTGTTTTTTCTAAGTCTGTGATCTTGTGATATGAAAAATAGGGCTTATCTCTCAGCCACCTACCCCAGTGTCTTAAAGGCTGGAGGTGCAGCAGAGGTGGCCTAGAGCCCTCAGGATTGGGTCCTCACTGCATGTCGTGCAAGCAGTCTGTTTTAAAGCCTACTCTTGGGACAAGTGAAACTGTTGGGCTGTTAGACAAGGGAATCAGAGGCTGGTTTGAGATTACAGTGAGGATCTGGAGAGGAGAGGAGAGAATGCTGTCAGACGGAGAGGGCAGTGATGTAAGGCAGTGGTGTAAGGCGGTGCTGACAGAGGTTTGCAGTCCTGGGAAGTCCTTTTCTTGGTGATTTAGCCAGAAGAATGAACATTTGCTAAAGAGTGGAAGCCTTGTGACAGGTAGAATTTTAAACTTTGCCTTCAGTGATAAAGGATGGGGCCTGGTGTAGAGGGAGGAAAGGGCATTCTAAGGCCCAGAGAAGTCTCCAGGGAGGAAGGGGTACAGGTAAGAGCCATGGCACAGTTACTGAGTAGTGCAAGCATAAATCCATGGGAGAGAACTAAAGACCCTTGGGCTACTTTGAGTCTAGCTTCCAAAACCCTCCCCAACCGAAGGTTTACTTCTTTGCTCACCTGCCTCTAAGGTGATTTTACCCAGAAAGGAGGCCTTCAGCAGACCTTGTAATCTAGCACAGCTCCCAAGGTCACAGTCCTTTCCACACCCGAAGCCTGGGAAGCTGCGTTCTGGTCGGCTCTTGTCCTTTACTGACAGCAGCACCATGCTCCTGCACTGTGACCCTGACCATCTAACAGTAGCATGGTCATCATGGTGCACACAACGTTTAGTATGTCTAAAGCATTAAGTTAGGCACCTAAAAGATAGGGTCTGGGGTGTGCATAAAAGTAATATTTCTAGGCCTGGAGAGATGGCTCAGCAGTTAAGAACACTGGCTGTTCTTGCAGAAGACCCGGGTTCGAATCCTAGCACCCACATGGCAGCTAACAACTGTCCGTAGCTCCAGTTCCAGGGGATCTGACAGCCTCTTCGGTCCTCCACGGGCATTGCACAACATGGGTGTGCTTACCTACGTGCAGGCAATACACAAATACACATAAAATAAAATACATTTTTTAAAAAAGTATTTCCTATTCTAGAATAAGATTGAACTATTTCAGGAATTTAATAGAGAAAAAGTGATTCTGAAGATAGTTATAGTCATGGGGCCTCCATGGGGAAATGAGGATGTTAATTTGAGAATTAGTGGGAGATAAGGGGGTGTGCATTCCAGACACACAGCTCTAGTCGTTGGAAAGCAGCCAGTCTAGGAGCAGGAGGCTTGTAGAGATGACTTTGGGAACAGAAGTTTGAGGGTGTCATTGAGTATACCCTTGAATACAAACATGAAGAGGTTGGATGTGAACCTCTGGGCGAGCAGTATTTTGAAAGGGTTATACTTGGGAAGTTAGGGGCTGTGAATGTATCAAGGGTTTGGGAAGACTGTACACTCCCTATGTGTAAGGAAAATGGGTGGGAACTAAAGAGAGGACATCATCTAGAGATCTGTTTAGAAGTCTTAGAGAATACCCATGTTCTCAGTTACAGCTCTGGCCTGTAGTTTTAAGATCAAGCCTGAATTAGTGCAGTGAGAATGGAAAGAAATAATGCTTTGTGATGGCAGTAAGTGGCAATGGATGGGCCAGGGACCCAAGAGGAAGTGATGTGGAAAACCCCACGTGAGCTGATGACCAAACACCAGCAATCAAAATTACAATCTGATGTGCAGATAGAACTAGTCTTCAGACTGAAGGTTCCATGTGTCCAGGAACAGTGTGTTTGCCTCTGAATCTCCACAGCATCTTCAGAGAATGCGGTGTCGTATGTGCTTTAGCGAGCATTTGTGGACGGGCTGGATGTTGTCAGAAGGGACACGGGAAGTGTAGTGAGCCGTGTTCTCTCCTCTTCCTGACAGCCTTGGCTTCACACAGAACCTGGCAGATTTCTTCCAGTGTGGCTGCTTTGGCCTAGTGAAGCCCTGCGTCGTCGACTGGACGTCCCAGTACACCATGGTTTTCCACCCAGCCAAAGAGAAAGTTCTTCGCTCTGTCTGAAGAAAAGCACCTCGGGACTCACTCCGACTAGTTCTTGTTTGTGTTGATGCTCTGCAGCCTGAAAGGGAAATGAGATGTTCTCAGCTTGTGCTCCCCTGTCAGACCTAGAAAGAGGGACTGTTTCTGAACAGTCCTGGCCACGTCATCCTTCAAAGCTTTTGTATTTTCCCCAAGAACATATGAGTTACTTTTTTAAAAAAATAGTACTCACTGATTATGAATCAAATAAGAGTATTTTCAGATACCGTATTGGCTATTTAAAAGTAGTGGTATTCTTTAAACTTGTAATTTTTCATAAGTTATTTGTCTTTGTTGTATCTATAAATATGTAAAGAGTATTTAAATAGAAATAATCTGTTTTGCTTTCACACTTAATAAAAAATTTTTTTGTAATTGAGACTTTCTGACATCTTTAGAATCTTAAGTTGAGAAAATAGTTTACTGACATGAAACTAATTTACAGATTCACTAATTTCACCTTTTTTTTTTTTTTTTTTTTTTTTTTTTTTTTTTTGGTCTTTTTGAGACAGGGTCTCCCTGTAGCCCCAGCTGTCCTGGAACTCGCTGTGTAGACCAGGCTGGCCTCGAACTCACAAAGATCAGCCTGCCTCTGCCTCCCAAGTGCTGGGATTAAAGGCGTGCACCACCACACCCGGCAATTTCACATTTTTAATACCAATAAGCAAGACTTTTATTTAGTTTTCCATCTTACTTAGAAGTTGAGCATAGGGAATCGTAAATACTCATTTCTACTTTTAGCACCATCAAAATGGTGGATGATTAGTGATTGTAATTGCTAATTTCCCTCGTTTTGGAGGAATGCTGATTCAGCCTGACTCTCAATACGGTGTACGCAAGCCCTGGCTGTGGTGCCTTTCCCCGTGAATCCTTCTTGGCCCCATTGCTCTCGTGAACACTTGAATTCTCATCATGGTCTGCAAAGCCCTGAGGGTGCAATGCAGTTTCTTTTTACCAGTGCCACTCTGGCCACACTTTGGTCTTTCAGCCTTTTGAGGGTTCTTTTTCCTTCCTCCAGATAAGAAGCTAAGTGAGAAGCAGCCAGTGTCCCATAGATATCTAGTGTGGTTGCCTGTAAAGTGCCAGTCACCTAGAATACTGCCTGGCACAGTGTTCATGCCATAGATATTTGAATTAATTTTTTGAATGAAATACGTAGTTTGTAAGTCAGCCATGATGTGGTCAGAATCATGTTTGAAGACTCAGATGGTAGACAGGATTTTATCCAACTATATTCTTTCTCCCAGCACTTACCAAGTAAGTTTTCCCAGGTTGTCCATAGACCATTTAGGTCGGAATCACAGGGACTAGGTAAGAGTCCAGGGCTCAAATTCAAATTCCCCACCAAGACCCAGTGCTCCTAACTGATCTGTAGCATGGGAAGTCCATTTCACTTATTTTGGGAAGATTCCATAAATAAATATTGAACACCATGCTCTATCTTACCACAAAGCATTTCATTGGCTATTATAATCATTGAGCTTTATAATATAGAGGTAAAGGTAACATGTATGTGACTGTAGTATAAGATAAAAACGTGAAAGCCAGGCCTGGTGGCTCACACCTTTAATCCTAGCACTTGGGAGGCAGAGGCAGTGGATCTCTGTGCGATCAAAACCAGCCTGGTCTACACACCGAGTTCCATGCCAGCATGATAAAAAACATTAAAAGGCAGAGGGATGCAAATGAAACTCTGGGATTTAAAGGCTGAGGAGAGGCTGGGTGGATGTGATGAGGGAATTGTTTGTGGATGGTAGTATTTAAGAAGGACTGGGCAGAAACCAAAGCAGTGGGAAGGGAAGTAACTTGATTACAGCACATTTGATGCCTCAGGTGCATATTAGTCAAGGAGTTAGTGTGATAGTGACCATCTCCTTGGTGACTTTAAATGCCTCCATATTGACAGAATGCGCTACAAGTCTCGTTCTGTCCTTGTGTCACTGTCTGTTTAGCTGTTAGCAGGTGTTCCTCCATGTAAGACCCACACGCCTTCCAGCTAGTGGTCCCACCATTACCAATTTTCTGTATCTAGAGATGTGGAGAGAGCGAAGACTCTTCCAAAAATTCTTGCCACAGAGGACTCCATGGGCCAACATAGCCGTGTCCGAGTCAGCAACAGTGGATTCTGGGAAACGGAGCAATTTGCTCAGGAAGCAGAGAACTTTAATATTATACTGGACCACCGTGAAGTTCTTCATTTCGTTACTTTTTACGTTTCTCTCTGGCTTCTCTCCATCCAGCAGATGTTTAAGTACTCTTTGTTGACTATTACAAATTTAAGAGTATCCCAGTCTAACAAGCAGGCAAGTGAGAATTGAGAACAGCGCCCAGTGGAAGGGCTGCAGTACGCACACCGACTCGGAATACAGATGTGGACTCGTGCTGCTCAGGTACTGCAAAGTAAATAGCAATTGATTTGTGGCTTGATTAATGGGAGTTTACCAGGTGAGGAGTTAGGTTAAGGAATAAAGACAGGGTTCTGTCTTCAAGAATTCCAGGCAGAAGGAACATTAGCAGAGGCGTGATGGGCAGCAAGTCCTGGCCATGGGAAGACAGCTTTAAGTCTTTGAGTGTAGCTGGAACTTTGCATGAAAGAAATTGTAAAGCTACATGGAAGGGTCTGGCAGAAGCCAACTTGTGAAAGTTTTTGTAGATACACTTTATGCATGGAATTGCCTCTCCAGAATTCAAACGTGAAGTCTGTTAGTACCTCAGAATGTGACCGTGTTTGAAGATAAATTAAAGAAGTAACTAAGGTTCAAGGTAGCTATGTGGGTGGACCTTGATTCACTCTGGTGTTCTTATTAAAAGCCAACTCTGGGACGTAGACACACTCTCAGGGAAGACCTCGTGAAGATAGAGATGGTCATGGACAATACGAGGAGAGAGACATCAAAAGAAGCCCATCCTGCGGACCCCTTGATCATGGATTTCCAGCCTCCAACACTGTCAGGAAACTCCTGTTGCTTAAGCCACTCCGTCTATGGAACTTCGCTGCCTCAGCCTTAGCAAGCTAAGACACCAGATGAGAGCGGAGAGATGCTGTAAAACTACCTTGGAGTCAGCATCTGGGAGGCTTGAGTGAGGCTAAAGGACATCCGACTTTCAGTTTGTCCCCTAGGTACATGTGTGGTGGGGCTGGTGTCTGAAAGGCAGCAGAGGAAGAAGAGGAAGCATCGTCCTGAAGATGTGGCACATGCATCTTCTTCCCCCGAACAGGCCTGGAACTGTCACAAGCCAAGGTAGCGTGTTGCTCTTGAAGTTCACGCAGGGCCTTGCCTAAGGCAGCACAGAAGTGGTGCTGAAGATTTGCTTGTTTTAAAGATAGCTTTTCTTGGGAGTTGGAGCATAGAAAAATTCATGCTTCTGCCTAGTTTCTCATGGTTTTTATCAAGAGATTTATATTTGCTTTTCCAAGTAATTAGGAATCGCAGAGAGGTGGGGGAAACGGCACGGTTGCCTAAAAAGAAGATGCCGCTGAGACTTGCTGAGGAGGCAGAGAACGACGTGTCTGATTGGCTGCGTTTTACTTGTGAGGCTGGCAATTTGATGTAGAAGTTTGAAGAAAATTGCTACATCCCAAGGAATTGCTCTAGAATAACGGGAAATTATCTTCTATCGTTTGTAACAGAACCGGAAGCCAGGCTTTGTTTTTTCTCTGTTTCCACAAAACATGTAATTGCTCCAAGCCCACGATCGTACAAAAGGATCGACTTTTCAGCAGTTTTATTGCTTTTTATTTCTTCTTGGGATTGGCTGTCCCACTCTCCATTTCCTCCCCGCCTTCCTTTCTCCACCCACAGTGGTGACAAAGATGCTTCCAGACTGCAGGGTCACTGCTCATTCCTTCCCTTCTCAACCCTTCCCACCTGGAAATGAAATCCATTCTCTTTAGCTGGTCTTTTAAGCTCATTCTTATTCGTATGTTTTTGTTTGTTTGTTTGAGACAGCGCCTCTTTTTTTGGGGGTCTTTTTGAGACAGGGTCTCCCTGTAACCCCAGCTGACCTGGAACTCTGTAGACCAGGCTGGCCTTGATCTCACAGAGCTCTGCCTGCTTCTGCCTCAGAGTACCACTGAAACATTTATTTATTTATTTATTGCCTCTCCTGCCCCAGGAGTTGTAAATAATAAAGCGTCTGTTGCAGATTAACTCATCTGTTTTCTTCCAAAGGTCTCTTCTCACTCTGGTACAGCCTGTGATCACTTCCGAGGAGACATGCTGTCCAGCTGCAGACGGAGCAAGCTCTGCATCCCTGGGCATTCCCGGCCCTGCTGTCGCTGGCGGGCTTGTGAGAAGATGCAAACCGTGCACAGCATTTCACTCCTTCTTTTCCACTTGATGTGTGAGGCCTCCAAAGCCAATGCCTGTGGGGCCAAAGTTTTTGGCATAGCAAACTGTGAACCAGAAGATAAGAGAGAATATATTGATTAGCCTATCAGTTTTCTCAGGTCCTGTCTGTTTACCTGTTAGAGATGAACCTTTTGTAAATATAAGTTAATTTTTAAAGAAATTAAGCTAGGCTTGGACTTGCTGGTAAGTCTTTGTGTTTCTTTTCTGCTTGGTGTTCACTGACATTTCCTCACGCTACTCCACATAATCTGGCTCTCAGTTGCCTGCCTGGCCTTCTGCCGACCCCTCCTGACCAGGCGTTCAACGGCTCGCCGTTC